TGTTTTGCTTTCAAAGCAAAACAGGGAAGTCAAACCAGGCCATTTAAACCGAAGGGCCCTGTTTGGGATCTGAAAGAGGGGGAAGGGGGGGGAGGGGGGAAAGGAGGGGTGGGGGGGGGAGATCCATACCCCCCCCCCCCGGAAGCGCAGAACCCTTGACTTTTCATACACAGGAACCGTATGGGGAAAAATAATAATAATGAAAGGACCTCCCACCCACTACCTCCAACCTTTGGCAAGGCCTGAATGTAACTTTTTTGGGGGGGGAGGTGGGACGTCCTTAACACCCCCTCCCGAGCGTGAGCGCTTTATTTTTCTCTCCTCAAAATCCTTTCAATCTAGTCCTGACCCCGAGCATCAATGATCGCCGGGGCTGTAAGGGACTGTTCATTCTTTATGAATCCCCTCCTGGAAGCTCAAAAAGGCACCTGCGTTTCTAGTCCTCAAGAGCGAGTTCCCCAGCTGGGGAGAGCTTGAGGGCTAGAAAGTTTGCTTTTTCGTTTAAGGAAAGGCCAAGCTTCTGATGAAGTGAGGCGGGGTCGGGGCAGCTTCTGGAGTGCCCTGTTACCTGATATTGGTGGGCCATAAATAAATAGATTCCCTGAATTATAAAATGGAGGGAGGAGTTGGAAAATCTTAACTTGGATGGAGAACGGGGGGGGGGGCGCAAGGTTTCGGTTGAATTAGCTATTTCTGGAAGGATGTCTCTGAGCGAATGTTTCTCATTCCGGTAGCAGCTTTTTCCCTTCTCTACCTGCTTGGCCTGATCAATATTCTTCTTTCCATCAGGAAAAAAAAATGCAATTAATAAGAATTCGCACCGAGGCGGTGCTAGTGGGATTTCCTCTAAGTGGACGCCTCGGGCGAGTTGATTAAGACCCACCCTCACGGAAAACAATGGGTGCACATAAACAGACAAGACGGGACCCGATTCTGCAGCGGCCGATCGTTTGCATTTCCTCCCATTTCCATGGTGGAATTCTGAACGAGGATCAAAGATCTCTGATGCCGCAAACAGACTTTCTTGTATAAACCCTAGCGCACGCTGGCTCTTCCTTCCAGGTCAACACGTGAAGGATCGGGCCGGCACTGTACGTGGATCGCGCCCTTCAACCCAAACAGCTGCGGATGGCGTGAAATTATAAGAATAGTTCCTGTCGGTCTCCTCCGTTTTTGATCCTAGGGAAGCAAACCGGCTCAAGAGGAGATCTCCGCACCAGGAAGAAAGTTCTGTTTTCTTCCGAGTAAAGCATTAACAACGTTATGCCCGAAATAGTGCTTAGTAGGAAGGAAGACCAAGTAGACTCAATAGATTTCTCTTTCTTTCCATTTTAATCTTGGGCCCAAATTTGCTGAGGAATAATAATAAAAACAACTGCGTGTTACTAGTTTTTTTGTTTTTTGCTGTATTGCGCGTAAATGTGTGTAGGAATTCTAGATTGTGGGAAGGTGCATCTTATACTGCAAAGGAGATTTACCTGGAAGGCATTGTTTACATCAAGCTTCCAGGCTCAATCCATGTGAACAGCAAAGGGGACTTGCAAGCGATGCGAATCGGACCAGTTTAAAATACTTCGGGACTTAAATAGCCCGCGGCCTTGAGCCATTATTAAAAGGAAAATAAACGGCGGCGGGAGGGGGGAGTAGCTTTGATGGTGGAAAAGCCTGTGTTACCTTGGTCGACCCAGCTCTGGAGGGCGAAAGGGTCAGGGACAAGAGTACCTCCTGGCCCATTCCTAGCACAGTACCCACCCATCACATTTGAACAGGAAAAATACACGTGTTAAGCGCCATTTTTCTTTATCACAGTTTTTTTCTTTTTTTCTGTTTGGCAATATTTATGCTCTGGTTCTCCTACAAACCGGAAGAAACGACACAAGCAAAACCCCTCTCCACGAAGGAAAGAAAAGAGGGGAGATGCTCAAGAACACCCTAATTTCTTAAAGTTAAAAATACCAATCAATTTTCTCCTGTCTCTGTGATCCTTTCTTTCTTTCTTTCTTTCTTTCTTTCTTTCTTTCTTTCTTTCTTTCTTTCTTTCTTTCTTTCTTTCTTTCTTTCTTTCAAAAGTGTTTTGTCTACAGCACGCTCCTCGGGGCGGAGACCTGTCTTTTCAAATGGCGGAAAATAAAATATCCCGAATATCTGCGGATTGTAGGGAAAGGTTTACTGCTGCTGTCACGGCGTAATAATAACAGTAATAATAATAATAACAGTGCTGGTCCGGAACGACAACAAGGTGGCGTTTATCGCTCTTCTAGGACGCGAGGGGGGGGAATCAACGCTGCTGGCGTGTTCTTTCCCTGACGTGCGGCTACACAGAGAGAATTCTCGTCGATAAATCAAAATTAAGATGATAAGCTTTTTGTATGTGTGTTAGGGGAGGGATAAAAAGAAAGCCCTCACCCATTTGATTTGCAACTCACTTCGGAGGGGGGTGGTGAAATTCACTCTCGTTTTATTGTCCCTTTCATTGAATTCTATTTCTGCAGCTCAGTAAAGGGAGCGATCCGGCCAAGGTTAAACAGCTCTTTTTTTTTCCTCCTTCAAAGGATCTGCTCTTGATTTAGGAGTAGGTCTAATTGAATACAGTGGCATTTACTGGAAAGAAAACACCCGGGTTACTTGGGAGGGGGAAAAAGCCAGAACCGTCCAGTCGAAACCAGCGTTTCGAAAATGGACCGAGGTGTCTGCTTGTTTTCGGGCCACGAACGTCTCCCCAGAAAATGTCTCTAGAATCGGGTGACACGGAGACGATTTCCCGAATTTCAACCCCCTTCCACGTCTACCTTTTGAGATTCGAGAGCGTTGGGACGCCTCTTGAAAGTGCTGGATCGCGCCCTTTCTTTTCAGAACGAGATTAAGGAGGTGGAGGAGGTGCGGGAAGGAGAAGGGAAAAGGTAGAGAAACTGCTAAAAAATAGAGTCTCCCCCCCATCACATAAATCTTATTTAGGATTGTGTTTTAATTCCCCCCCCCCGCAAACCTCACTGTTTGTTTGCAAACAAACTTCTGAAGTGTCTTGAACAACCAGAATATATAGCAGGGAACCGCCCGTAAGGATTTCGAGAGAAACACGCTTCTTGGTAGGTGTTTGGAAAAGCATGGCGCTTGATCAGAGAGACACAAAAAACACACACACCCCATAAATGCAGAGCAACAGCAAAAGATGAGGAAGGGGATCCTGGTAACCCTAAATATTTTTCATAAAAATTCGAGTTTGTCGGGTGTGTGTGCGCCTAGAACCGACCTCCCCAAGACACCCTGTTTGTAAGGGGAAAGTTCTGCCTCCCATCCTTAAATCTTCATTATTGGTTAGGAACCTGCTTCTTTAATTAAAAAATCCACCAGGTGTTATAATGACATTTTCAGCCACAAGACAGTTTGCGGGAAAATTCCCCCTATTCGTTGCCTCTTGAACTCAAAAACAAGACAATGGGGTGGGAGCGCAGCCTAAAAGCGACCCGTTTGATCTGTGGGGCCGTTTTCCCCTAATAAGAAACCGTGGGGTGCCCCTTGTCATTTTTAGGGTACTAAAGCCTCAAAAGGCGAAGAGAGCCGCCTTTTCTTCCCCTTCCTCTTAAGGACGCTCCCTCCCCCCCAAAATACACATATTTTTTTAAAACAAGAAGCGGCTCTCCGTCATGACTCCGCCACTTTATCCCTTGAGTTACTTTTAGTTTACGCTTCCGACTTCTGAAAAGAAGTAATAATAATTATAACCACAGCAAGACTCGGAAAAAGGTTTTAAAGGGAACAGATAATGGCCCTCAAACTACCAACGCGTCTTGTTTATTCCTCTCCATACCACTCTCCTTTTGCCAAATACTAATTTTCCCTTCTTACTCTCTCTACTAAAGCTTAGGAGGATTCATAAACAACCGCCGATCGTTGTGTTGTTTTATTTTTTGGGGGGAGGGGGGAGGTTTACTTTTTCATGCCGGGAGCGCGCCGACATGTCAAAGTTGAATTCGGCTGATTTTATTTCCGTTTTAAAAATTCGGATTATTTAATTCGCGGCGCCCGGAGTTTAGAGGAACCCGTACGGATCTTTTATTCTCCTTTAATTACATTTATTAATAGCTGTGAAAGGTTAGCGTCCAAAGACATGCCTTGTTGTTTGGAAGTTGGCGAGGGAGCCCTTTGGAAAATACTGTATATAATTAGGGAAATGTGTATGTAAAGAGATGGGGGGGGGGAAGGGGAGAAATCCAGTGTTAAAATCGGCCTCGATTTTGATTGATTGATTGATTGAAAAATCAAAATTGAAAGAGCACAGACTGGTGGAAGAAAACCGGCTTCCCTTGCCTGCTTTGAGCAAGGCAAGATCAAACTTTTCCGGAGAAGTTAACTAAAGTGGGGCTCAATTTCTCTCCATCAATTATTATTATTATTAGGCTGCTATGATTGATAATGACGACCGTCAACCCGTTTATTTAGGGGGGGCTGGATCCGAAGAAGCGCCGCCTTGTTTCCAATAGAGACAGAGATCGTTTGGAAGGGTGTTAAGGTGACGGAGGAAAATGAAAATAGGCTTTCACTCCCATGAGACCGGTGGTAATTTCGGGGCTCCTTCGCCCACCCACCCCCACACACAGGAGGTTTCGGGGGGCTTTCCTCCCTGGTGCGCAAGAGTGCAGCCTCCAGGCTGATCTCCTCGGGAGGAAACGCGCCTGACAACAACGGGGATGCTTGGCCCCCTCTGGGAAAGGGGGTGGCCTCCCCTCCCCTCTCAGCCCGGTGGAAGCCGCGCTTACTCGAAAGTAAAGCCCACTGGAGCAAGCTTTTTTTTGGGGGGGGAATCAAGGTGGAAACTCGCCAGGGGTGGGGAGAGAGGGAGGGACAGAAACCAGGAGGCGGAGGAGGAAAGAGAAAATGAAGGAAGGAAGGCAAGCAGGGGGTCCCGGGAGAGCAATTCCACCCTGAGAGGCGAGTTATTAAAACAAGGAGGCGACGGGCCGCTTTTAATTCGGATTAACACCTCCTGCCAACAAGCACCGGTGGAATTTGATCTTGAACCCGTTCCAGGGAGTGCGCGCCGGCTGTGCGCGCCTGGGTCTCTCCTCCTTTCCAGCCTTGGCTTGCCTCGCTCCCTAGCGCTCCTTCTCCCCCCCCCCCACCCCCCCCCCGGCCGCATCGGGCCCCCTCCCCCCCCCCCCCCC